AAAAAAAAAAAAAAAAAAAAAAAAAAAAAAAAAAAAAAAAAAAAAAACAAAAAGAGATGCAGCGACACGGTTTTATCTTCGCAGTTCAAAGAAGATTCTCGTGGAATAATAAAAAATTGGAAGATCACCGAGATACGAACGAACGAACGTACTCGCGCAACAATGTTATACCATTGCCATCGTAGTATCGAAAGTGATAACTCTCTTTAACCGGAGAGTTAACCACCACACGTAGGGGAGCAGAATCATTAGTAATTAATTGATCAATTGATTAATTAATGGGAACAAGGGAGTGAGGGTTACTTTACACGTAGCGCGCCGTTACATGAAACGCGAACGTTTGTGCGTAGGAGATCCCATATCCACGTCGTGCGAGGCAGGCCGTTTGTGATGCCGAGCAAACTCGTTGCTTATAAAAGCAGACAATTCTGCTTGCTTTCCGGAACGTCTAGAGACCGATGAGCCTAGAAAATGATTAATATCATATAGGAATGCAGTTTTTTTCAATATCCATCCACCTACAACAGAGTGTAGAAAATAAAAAAAGAAAGAAATAGAGTTACGATTTAATTTTAAATGAAATAATAAAGGATACAATAATCTCTTACCGGATAACGATATAGCTTCTCTAAATGTGTGTAATTCGGGATCCAAATCTATTCCAGGCGAAGAAGTCTGTGACACTACCATACTTTGCGTAGGACTTTGCGAAGGCGAAGAACCACATACCATCATCCTCGGTTTTGGCGAACTTCTGTAATTATTACATTATTTTTCATCTATTTGTAAAAGTTATATCATATAACTAACTAATTTACTTTGATACACAATAACGGATCGACAAAGATACGACGGGGTACGGATACGTACTATGATTAAACTTCACATCTAACTAAAAAAATAAATATTTCATTATAAAAAGAAAGAGAAAAAAAAAAAAAATATATATATATATATATACACATATATATATTTGTAAAAATCCTTAACCTGTGCGAGTGTGGTCTTGGTGGAGGTGGTTTACCAGCAAGATACGCTAACAGATCTTCTCTACGGATCATGCGCCTCTTTTTCCTAGCCCAGTTCATTATTTCTTTGCTACGTTTTTGCTTTCCGGTTTCTATTCCTAGTTCACTGCACCGTCGCATACTATCGACCGAATCTGTTCAAAGGAATCCAAATTAACATGCATGAATTATTGAAATACCGTAACACAACGTGGATGCTTTTCCCCCAACGAATGACGAAACCACATATTATAATTAAAAAGTACAAAGGTCCAAATTGATAAATAAATAATAATTACATCCCATTGACAAATAATATTAAAAAACATAAACATAACTTTGTGTATGTGTGTGTGTGTGTTTTTTTTTATAATAAGGTATATAACAAACAAATAATACTCGTTGGAGAACATGCATCATTGATATTTCCAATTTCTTGAACACAGCCACCACACCAGGGGCCTAATGTTAAATAAGTATATAAAACTTTGTATGTATGCATAACAGCTGACCTTCGACACTAATCAGCTGTATATGATCACGCGTAATATAACGCGAGTGAGTATACACCCATACGTAAAACATTATTCATATATTCGCAGAAATATAAAGGAATACAAAATAAAAAGGTAGTGTACGACAAAAACGGGGGGAGGGGGACAGAAGTTGGGTGGGGGGAGGGGTTTCCCCACAAAGAAAGAATCCATCGTTCGTGCTCGTGCGAGGGTAGATGTGAGAGGAGTGCTTTAAGCAAACAGGCAGCCAACAAATAAGCAAACAGACATTCCATGCAGGCACAGACGAATGACAGGTTAAACCAATCAGGATGGAAGAAAGAAGGAAGGAAGGAAGTAAGGAGAATGGAGAGGGGGGGAGGGGGGTAACAAATATCAGTAAAAAAAGTAAAATGAGGGAGAGAGATAAATAAAATAAAATAAAAGAAAAAGAGAAGGAGGAACGCAAGAGGGACCAGAGATTTAATTTCCTTCTCGCACGCACGCACGCACACATATACACTCTTCTCCCCTCCCTTCCTTCTCCTCCCCACCACTTCATCGTACCCAACGTGTTGACAACAAAGCGATCATCATCCAAGAAAGTCCACGCACCTTTGTACAATGACGTGACGGTACCCGCAGCTGTCTGGAAGGGTAGCCACAGTGATACATTCTGGGTACGATCTGTAAAATAAGAAAAACTGTTAAGGGAACTGGTGTTACAGGCAACGATCGGATGGATCGATACATGTGCGCGGAGAGAATCAAACAGGCGGGGGGAGGGAGAGGTAGAAATTGAGATTTTGTTAAAGATGCAAGAAAGAGAGAGATAGAAATATATATATATATATACGTGTGTATATATATAAATTTATATAAAATGAGAAAAAGAGAAAGATAAAGATATATATTTATACGTATTTACGTATCTCTACGTAAAACGTATGTATGTATATGTATGATATATATATATATAGAAAGATAGGCAGAAAGGAATGACGAGGAATAACGAGAAGGAACGTCTTATCAAAATGGATGTCAGCGTCAATCAAGTACGACGACGAGTCGATATATCTTTTGTCTTGTTCTCTTCTTATAATTCTTCCCCACCACCTTCTCCCCCATGCCATTTTCTTTCTTTCCTATCTTCTTTCTTTCTCTTTCTCTCCCTCTCCCTCTCTCTCTCTCTCTCTCACTATTTTTAATTAAGTTCTTTAAATTCGCATTTAGTTACTTTTTTTTCCGTTCTAATTTAAAAGGAAAATTAATTGTAAGAGAAATATAACGTCATATGTATGCAATCTACAGTGTACATATATATATATTGGTATGCAGAAAGCTCGCCTTTATAGAATTGGGCGATGGCCGACGCCGTAGTTTGAAAGCTAGCCCACATCTGCTGTGAATAAATCTCCTTAGCGTTTTGTAGTTGATTTTCATATTCCGGTTCAGCTTCCAAAGCTTCAACACACTGTTGTTCCCAATTACTATACCAAATATCCATTATAGGATCATCCTCGCTTCTGTCGTCGCTCATGATGCTTGTTGGTTACACTGTTCGTCGTCGTAGTGTCGTGTCGTATCGGTAGTAGTTGTGTATCTCGTTCGTTGATGATTATCGATGTTACCTTTAATCTTCTTCGTCCTTCAAAGTCCTCCTCATTAAGATTCTTACTTGTGTAGTGAGAGACACACTACTATTTTTCTTATTATATTATTATTATTATTATTATTCTTCTTTTATTCCACCACCACCACCCACCATCACCACCATAATTTCCTCCTCCTACTTCACCTCTTATTCTTTTTCTTTTTCTTCTACTTCTACTACTACTACCTCCTTTACTACTACTTCTTCTTCTTCTTGTTCGTGTGCTTCTTCTTCTTCTATCGCACCGTGTGCACACGCCTCGCCCACCCACGCGCACTCGCGACAACCCTAAACTTCGTCGTTCCTTCCTTAACGTCCTATAAAGACATATATATCTATCCCCCTCTTTCTCTCTTTCTGATTGTTTAACTGTCTAACTGACAAACGTTTCCTCTTTTTTCTATCTTTTTATCTTTTCTTCTTTCTTTCTTCTACACTTTTCTTCTCTATATATATGTATATATATAATATAATATATATATATATATATATATATATACTTTTATATCTCTACTTCCTTCTTTTCTTATACGTATTCCCCTCTCGTATTTCACGTAACTCGATGACAAAAAGAAACAGAACTCCTCGTATAACGCACGAGCTAACGAATTTTTGGAGTCGCTACAGTCATCGTGACGTAGAGAAAAATATTTAATAATAAATCTGACGAAGTTTATTCCTAAATGATTAAACTAATGACGACGATGACGACGATGACGATGACGACGATAATAACGACGACGACGACGACGACGACGACAACGAACAATACGATAAAGTTCTACCAGCGAAAAGCTTCTTCGCACTAAGCCTCGCTACCGAGAAATGAAATTAAAATCAACGATAAACCGAACCTCTCGCCCTTCTGGTCGCCATCACACTGATCCCTGGGAATTGTATAGCTGCTGCACTCTATGCGCATCCTATTGCATTGCAATGCGCAGCCGCCTTTCCATTTTGCACCAATCGACCGCTCCGATTAACGTGTCGCTGCTATCTTACGAACAAAATTCTAACTCGATGAAGAATTTTAGTTTATTCGTTATTTCAATATGGTCGCCATTGGTCAGCTGATCGGATTGCTTCCATACCATGAGTCTGCTACATTTTCAATTTTAAGGTTAGATCGCGCCATGTTTTTCTTTTACTATGCGCAGGGTCGACAATTTAGATTCTCTTGTTTATCGATTCGAACACGACGTTATTCTTTTATTTATTTCTTAAGCATTTTACTTTGCAAAATTGATATGGGGAATTTTTCTTATTGTTTAGTGTGTCCCGTCGTCGGGTCGTTGTTCTTTGATAATAATCGAATAACGCACACGTGACAATTGCGTCACGTGGAACGAAAAGGAATATTATATTATGAATCTTGTAATTATATATATTTTAATTAATATCGTAATAATAATATAATATAAAAAAATATTATTTCTAATTTTTTCTATTAACAATTTATTCGATTAATCTTACGTGGTAAATTCGTATATGGTATAAAAGTGTGTAAAATATTCTAACATCCCACGATCAACGCGGTGAACACAAAATAAAGTGAAAATCTTTTTCGTTTATTCGATTTTGTAACATACACGTGTGTATGAAAACGTTCGTTCTTCGTAGAAGGATAAAGAAATGAAACAAAATCAAATAAAAATAAAAAGAAAAATCATATTTACAATTCAGCGATCTAATACGCCCCACACACAGATTTGTTTTATCCTAACGCTTCTTATGATACAATTTGTATTTTTACATACTTGTATAATTTTCTATATATATACACGCGCAATGGAACGCAAAACTTATTGAACAAAACAAAAAGAAAAAAAAATAAAATAATCACGGTTATTATTTCATGTGTCATAAAATATATTAAGTACATAACAAGGAATGTTTAAAAGTTTTCTTTGACTGTACAATCCTTTTGTATATTATTTCCTTTCTTTCTTTCTTTCTCTCTCTTGCATCTTGTATGAAGATCGTCTTTTGCAATTGTATCGAGACGTTGGTTGTTGTAAAATTAAATAAATTGTATAATAAGATTTTATTTTATCCTAACTAACAGAAAAGTTTTCGGATATTAGAAAAATGACCGATCTCATTTTCCATCTTTTTTTTTGTAAACGAACACAATTCCTAAATGATAATTTATGATATAATTAGTTGTATTATAATATATAATAAAGTTTATAATATAAACTTTCTAAGGATTGTTCCTGTTATTTATTGTATCCTTCAAGAGATCAAATATTTTCCCATTAGGTAAAGATAGAAAGTTTAGATTGAAGATATTTGAATGAGTGTTCAGGTATTAAAGACCGATCTCTCCTAGAATATAAAGAAAATATTTTTCTCAGATACCAACCAAATTTTTCAGGGAACAGTTGACCGACCCTTCGTCAATGCTAGGGAAAAAGAGATAGTATATACTTTCTCAAAAGGGTCACTAGTCGAATATCTTTTTTTTTTCTCATTCCGATCTTTATGAGAGAGTTGTTTGTTAATTTTTTTTTTTTTTCGTTGAATTTATATCAGTCATGTTCGTTACTTATATTGGTTTGTACAAACGATATCACTAAAGGATGAAATTTCTTTTGATAAGAAAATTCTTTCCTCGCTATAACACTCCGTGCGCTGATTTTCCCGGGAAGCATTTTGCGATTGTAGAATCAATTGACTTCCACACTTCGGTAAGCTACAAATTATACATATTAAAACTAATAACACAACATATCAAAATTGATTGATACAACGAATGACAATAAGAAGAATATAAATAAACGTTATGGAAATATTATTATCCTCGAATTTTGGTTTTTACCTCGAATCCATTGGATTGCATAATGAATGAAAAGGAAAAAAAAAACAAACAAGAGAAGAAAATTAATAACAATTAATAATAATAATAATAAAAAGAAATGATTAAATGTAATATGCAATTAAAGTCTCACCTCCGAGTGTCCTTTTATTTGCACGCTAACAAGACTCTGTAAAACCGATGCGAGTAGTTCCAAGTGTGCGTGAACTAATTGCGTTTCCATGTGCAAGCAATGCAAGGAAAAACAATTTCTCAATTCGACGTTAGCAATGACGGACTCCTGGGCGATCATTTTATTTTCCAGATACTCGACTGTATCCGCCTGATTGTAATAAATGAAAAGCTAAATTGATAGAGATGATAAAAGGAAGGGGGAAAAAAAAGCGGTAGAAGTGAAAGCATTAAATATTGGTCAATAAATTCGTGCGATTATTTTTTTTTTGTTCTTTCTAAATAAATAAAAAATGACCAATACGTACGAATACAAAGTATTTCAAAATATCTAAGCACAATTTCAAGGATTGGTTTCAAGATGTTTTTCTGTACAGTTTGTTTTGAAATTATGCCCATACATTTTGAAACATCTTGGGCATTAGGTCTTGGGAATTCGCATAATTTTTTTATGTACATACATTAGTCCCACGAATGGCTCCAGTAAATTGTCGTTTTTTTAACGACAACATAGATGACAACGCACGTTGATGATCAGCACTAACACCACGTTCGTGTCTTTCGCATAATACTCTATGTGCTACGAGAATATCCAATAAAAAGTTCAGTCTCTCGCATATAATAGTCTCTTCTCTGACTGCTTGTTGCAATGCTTTAGTCGATAAAATATTAAATTCTCTGTAACATTTGTAAAAACATTCATATAAAACTCGTTTTTTAAAAGTAACAAAGTAACATTATAATCATCAACAACAACAAGATGAATCCTCACTTTGAAATAACATGGAAACCTTTTTTTAAATCCTGCCATAACGTGGAACCACCGGTAACCCAAGAACTAGCACCATGTGGTTCGCATGCCAAAGTATTCAATTGTGTTCCCAATTCTTCCATGTCTACTGCATAAGTGTGAGTTCTGATAGCCAGACAATCAGCTATATTTTTCAAACGTGTTATACCTAATAGTATTACTCTTATCTGATCTCTACTGTTAGCAAATTCTGTAAGAGTTTCGGGTGGTACTAATTCCTTAGCCCTCGATGATAATTCGGAAGTTGCAAATTCGTCTAATACTCGTCGAAAAACTTCGCGTATCTTGTGCTGGGTTTCCTCGCCGGCATAAGTTAAAAAGAAATGTACGATCGGATCTTTGTTAACAACCGGATGACGTGCGATCAATGTTAAAAACCTCAAAAGAGATCGTCTTCGTTCTTCCAAAAATTGTGAATTGGCTGTAAATGTTATATTCAATTGTTATTAATGATAATAATATCGTATATAGGATGATGAGTCACAAATTATTTTTGTTTTTTATATAATTATTTGTAAGTAAAATATATATAAATTTGAGATACAATTATTAACGTTCAACTACTCGTATAGTAGAAAATATATGTTATATCAAATAGAAAAATATACTTTACCTCCTACCATCTTTTTTGGTGGTAATTTCGGTATCAATCTATATGGGAACCTCGCGAGAAGAAGTTCGTGTAACGATACAAAGTCATTGTATCTTCTACAAACTACCGAATTAAATCTCTGTGAAAAATTGAGAGAGAAAAGAAAAAGAAATAAAAAAGATATTGATTATAATAATGATCTCTTCGTATTTTAATAAAAATGGAAAGTAACTTTGTTAATGAGTTACCTTGCTCGTAACTTGATATTCCACGTGTTTTAAGAAGATACCTTTCTTCTCCGGTACCAAGTTGACCTCTATCGAATCTAAATTACATATATCAGTGTATGTGAGATTCAGTTTCGCTGGATTGTTACCTCGGTGCAGTCTTTGAGCTAACAACGTGACCTCCGTTAAATCGCCAAGAATCGGGACGGGCAATTCTATTGAAATTTGGAAAAAGAAATTGTTTCATTAATTTCATCTCATCTCATCATCATAATAATAATAATAATAATTTGGAATAATTTCTTATAAAGATATTTTCTTCCATTTAAAATAAATTTGTGAAATATAACGAATAGTTTAATCGATATTGCAAGGAAGAACAATCCTACAAGTATTTTCAAAATTATACAATTTTGATTGAAATATAAATAAAAATAATAAAATAGAAATAATATCTTCATTTGGATTAATTAGTTATACGGGAATTTCTTTAACGAAATTTAAC